TGGAATGATTTCTGAACACCCGGAGAGAGGAGCTGCAAGTAGAAAGTGAGGCGTCCTTAAGAACAAATGATGTGAGCCAGGTGCGGTGGCTCAAGCCTGTAATCCCAGCACTTTGGGAGGCCGAGACGGGTGGATCACGAGGTCAAGAGATCGAGACCATCCTGGTCAACATGGTGAAACCCCGTCTCTACTAAAAATACTAACAATTAGTTGGGCATGGTGGCATGTGCCTGTAATCCCAGCTACTCAGGAGGCTGAGGCAAGAGAATTACCTGAACCCAGGAGGCGGAGGTTGTGGTGAGCCGAGATCGCGCCATTGCACTCCAGACTGGGCAACAAGAGCGAAACTCCCTCTCCAAAAAAAAAAAAAGAAAAAAAAAAAAAAAGAACAAATGATGTGACCCAATGCCCATCAATGATAGACTGGATAAAGAAAATGTGGTACATATACAGCATGAAATACTATGCAGCCATAAAAACGTTCATGTCCTTTGCATGGACATGGATGAAGATGGAAACCATCATTCTCAGCAAACTAACACAGGAACAGAAAACCAATCACTGCATGTTCTCACTCATAAGTGGGAGTTGAACAATGAGAACATATGGACACAGGAAGGGGAACATCACAGGGGCCTTTTGGGGGCCGGGGGGCTGGGGGAGGGATAACAGTAGGAAAAATGTCTAATGTAGATGATGGGTTGATGCGTGCAGCAAACCACCATGGCATGTGTATACCTATGTAACAAACCTGCACGTTCTGCACATGTACCCCAGAGCTATATATATATGTGTGTATATATATATATATATATATATATATACATATAAAAGAATAAATGATATGGGGCCGACCTCCTCCTCCTGTTGACAAGTCAACCAGCTTCCCGGGGGATGAGGGAAGCCTACGTGTGTGACAGGGTCTCTCATGACTGGCCCACAAGATGACGGTAATGATGACCCCACCCTACTTCCAGCCACAGCTTGGTCATCTCGAACCTTACAACCCCTTCAGTTTCCCTCCTCTTCACAAAAGGCTATCTACAAGGATCACCTTCACCTTCTCACCTCCCACTCAGACTCGCACCTGCCCCACCTGGCTTCTCTCTCCAGCTGCCACCAATCCGCTCTTCCAATCCCACACCTTCTCCCTGTGGCTGACCAAATGCACCTTAGGGGCCTGATCTTCCAAAATCTATGAACAGCAGCCTCAGGGTTAACTTTTGGGGAGGGGTGGAATTGAGCCTTTATCTCTTAATTAACTTGAAAAAGTAATACCTGCATATCATTTAAACACTCAGCCAGTACAAAAAGGAGACCATTAACTGGTAGTTGCAGGTATTGCCAGCGTCTCTCTCCAGAGGCAGATCTGTGCACATCCTTGTAGATTCCTGCAGAAATGTTTTTGTTTGTTTTGTGACAGAGTATCATTCTATTACCCAGGCTGGAGTGCAGTGGTGCGATCTCAGCTCACTGTAGTCTCCACTTCCTGAGTTCAAGTGATTCTCCTGCTTCAGCCTCTGGAGTAGCTGGGATTACAGGCCTGCCACTACGCCTGGCTAATTTTTGTATTTTTAGTAGAGATGGGTTTTCACCACATTGGCCAGGCTGGTCTCGAACTCCTGAACTCAAATGATCCACCTGCCTCGGCCTCCCAAAGTACTAGGGTTACAGGCTCGAGCCACTGTGCCTGGCCACAGAAATGTTTATGCATCTGCATTCATTTTCTTCTCCTTGTCTTCTCTCCGAATGGAAGCATACGGATGCAGTATTTTGTATATTCCTTCTTTCACTTCACGTATTCTAAGGATCACATTCCCTCTCTTCTCAAGTTGTCCCTGCTTGGTCTCTGAGCAGCACACTCTGCTGGTTTTCTTTCTGTCTGCTAGGCTGCCCTTGGCCAGCAACTCTCTCCAGCTGGCTTGGAAAGGTTGGAGTTCCTCCTAGTTCATCATACAAGCCCTCTTTCATCTTCCCTCAAACCTTTCCCCTAATCACTCCATCCACTCCCAAGGCTGTGCCAGCCATATACGTGGACAACCTCCACACAGCCTCCAGCTGGAATCCTTTCCTCTGACTCCCAGCTGACATCTAATCGCCACCTTGTAGTTGGCTGCCTGGCAATCATTCCCAAATCAACATGACCAACGCTAACTCCGTCTTCCCCCAGATCTGGCTCCCCCTCCTTTCCACACTGACCAGGCACCAAGTCATGCAGACATGGCACCATCAGCAGATTCTGAATCCATTCTCTTCATTGGCTGCTCGCAGCTCTTCCCTGGATGGCTATGCCAGCCTCCTGTCTGGATCTCTCAATCTACTCCTGCTTCTCTCCAACCACTTCTCACACGATAGCCAGAGTGATTTGGAACATGTAAACCTAGTGAACCATGCCCCAGCGTACAATACCCTAGCAGCTTTCCCGTTGCCATTGTAACCAACTCCAGAAGCCTCACCCTGCTGGAGGGTCCCACACCCCCTCTCACTCCCCTGTGCTGAGTCCAGGCTCTGTCTCTCCATGGAGCCCTCCCTCCCCACTCCTCGCCCTTTTGCCCTGACTCATCTTTCACCTGCACCTTCAAGGTCACTCCCACATGAAGCCTACCCATCCCTGGGACCAGTTAGACATCAAGCTTTAGCTCTGTAGTTCTTCAGTGTCTTTTCTTCTTGGAAACTCACAAATGTCTCGAGGGGGACTGTGACTGTTTTGTGCAGGACTGCTGCCTCAGCATCTAGCAATGTCCGGAAAAACGGACCGGATGAACAAATGAATGGCATCCTTGAACCTGCGCCCAGCTTCTGCACATTAGATTCCCCCGCCTGCACCACTGGACTTCCTGGTGTACAGAACAGCATGATGGATGAGGGCTTGGGTTCTGGGGCCAGACTGCCCAGGTTTGAGCCCAAGCTTGGCCAACTTTCTAGCTGTGTGATCTTGGTCAGTATTTCCCGGCTTTTCTCTTTTGTAAAATGGCACAAATACTAGTACTTTTTTTTTTTTGAGACGGAGTTTTGCTTTTGTTACCCAGGCTGGAGTGCAATGGTGCGATCTTGGCTCACCGCAACCTCCGCTCCTGGGTTCAGGCGATTCTCCTGCCTCAGCCTCCTGAGTAGCTGGGATTACAGGCACGCACCACCATGCCCAGCTAATTTTTCGTATTTTTAGTAGAGACGGGGTTTCACCTTGTTGACCAGGATGGTCTCGCTCTCTTGACCTCGTGATCCACCCGCCTCAGCCTCCCAAAGTGCTGGGATTACAGGCTTGAGCCACCGCGCCCGGCCAAATACTAGTACTTAATGCACAGAGGATCAAAGGAAAGAGTTTCTAACTCAGTGAGGGACTAGAAAAAAATTACACTGTTCGGTGCAGCATCCAGCATTTCTCTTCCTGTTCATTCATTCCTGGGCCATTTCAAACTGGTCTTCCCTTTAGCTGTGAAAACTGCCCTGTTTTTTTTTTTTTTTTTAGATGGAGTCTCACTCTCTCACCAGGCTAGAGAGCAGTGGTATGATCTCGGCTCACTGCAACCTCCACCTTCTGAGTTCAAGCAATTCTCCTTTCTCAGCCTCCCGAGTAGCTGAGACTACAGGTGTGTGCCACTGTGCCCAGATAATTTTTATATTTTTAGTAGAGATGGGATTTCACTATTTGGCCAGGATCGTCTTGATCTTCTGACCTTGTGATCCACCTGCCTTGGCCTCCCAAAGTGCTGGGTTTACAGGTGTGAGCCACTGCACCTGGCCTTATTTTGTTTTTAGGACAAGTCATTTCCAGCCATAAGTGAAAGGGTCTGAGACTGGGGATCCTGTCTGTTTGGTCTGCTGTTCCATATTGCCAGACTCTGGGAGGAGTGGATTCAAGAAATATTCCCTAATGGACTAAGGAAAGGTAAAGCCTAAAGTGGCTAGGGAAGCTAGCCTGAGTTCATTTTTTCAGGAATAATCCACAAGTACAGAAATGAACACTGATTTATTCAATTTTCTTGTTAGATTTCAGAAGCTCACCCACAGAAACCTTAGATTTTATCTTGATACCCTTCTGTTAAACCTAAGATGGTTACAAACTATAAAGCAGTAACTCGTTAGTGAGGCATGAAGAGTGTGAGGCTGGGACAGAATTTAGTGCTGAAATGATAAAAACATTTTAAAGTAACAGCTCTCTGGATGCAGTGGCTCATGCCTATAATCCCAACACTTTGGGAGGCTGATGTGGGAGCATCACTTGAGCCCAGGGGTTTGAGACCATCCTAGGCAACACAGTGAGATCCCTATCTCTACAATTTTTTAAAAAATTAGCTGGGCATAGTGGTGTGCACCTGTAGCCCTGGCTACTCGGGAGGCTGAGGTGGGAGGATCATTTGAGCCTGAGAGATCAAGGCTGTAGTCAGCTGTGATTGCACCACTGCACTCCAGCCTGGGTGACAGAGCAAGACATTGTCTCAAAAATAAAAAATAAGAGTTCTTTTGTAGCAATTTTAAAAAATGGAAATGAGAAAACTTTCCATTTTGCATAGCCTTTTTAAATTTCAGAATCCTAGACTCAAGACCATGATTTCATTTTCTTTTTAAAAAGAAAAATATTACTGAGCCTGAGTGTGAGCGCAAAAGCAAGCTCAGAATCTAGGCCAGGTCTCAGACCCTTGAAGGCCCCTGAAGAGCAGGACACATCCAGGTGCCTGGTTCACATGGGCGCCAGGCTGAGCTTACTGCCATCCTGTACAGACCCCTGTGCGGAACTTTTCGCTCAAATTTGCAAAATAAAATTTCTCAGAAATGTCTCAATAAATTAATAGAAAATAATGAATCTGATGATTCTGAATAAAATGTGTGATTTCCAAGAAAACTATGATGATGATAAATGCCTCTGAATGACTGAAATTCTAGAAACAGAGAAAATCAACCTAGAAAACCGCCCACTTCTACCGTCCAGGGGTGCAATCACTTCTATAATTGAAGACTATATGCTAACTGCTAAAACAGACTGTATCCAACTCAGCAGATTCTATACAAGCCATTTATTTGAAATGCCAACTATATGTAGGATAAAGTCAGTGTTACATGCTCATCAGTAACAGTAGAAAAATAGAAGCAGTGAAAACCTCTGTACAACTGTAATGGTACTCAAAAGAGAAATGTATTTTACAATGCTTCACACAGACGAATTCAAGTTTGGAGGTACCTAAATAAAAATACTATATATTTCTTTAAAAATCACTATGTACAATTGAAGCGTAAACAAGTTTTACAAAGTACTGGTTATGCAGGTTGTAGAAAACACTTGCATAGGACATGAAATCAGTTTAAGAAAAATTTCTGAGCCTTTAGCATTGAAGGCACTTGACTTTATACCAGTAACAGCACAACGACAAGAAATGCAGTGTTGTAGATGGTTTTCCAACTCTCTGTGTACAGATGTGGTGCAGACACAGCAAGCAGAGTTCAGGAATCTTTATCTGTCAGCCACCCCATCTAAGAGCAGGACCTGGTGCTGCCTGCCCATGTAACCCAGATACAGAGTCATGTGCAGGTAGACAATGAAGCTTCCAGAGCTTATCTGACCTCTTACAAACACACAAACACAGTAAGTTATTTTCAAGACGCACACTTGCAGGTCACCTTTCTATAGAAACGGCCACAGCATTATAATATTCAGAATATGAAAGACTGACAGTCTGAGGATTTTCTAGAGGAAAAAAAAGCAAAGGACTTGCCAATACGATAGCTACATAACAGATATGACAATCTACAGGACAAAGAGACAACATGTCACCAAACATTGCTCATACAACACTGTTATGGAAAACAGTAAAACACCTTTTAGCAGTGTGCATGTTAAGTCTTTCAGTAAGATTATCGGTAATGAGGTTTAAAAGTAAATCACTTAATAGACAAAGTAAACCACTGCAGAACCGGGAATAGCACCCATCACTGCTGCTTTAATAGTCAGTACAGAAAGCTGAAAGTCAACTGAACAATGAAAAAAAGTCAAAGAAGCATTTCCCTTTGAATTCAGTCCTAAAAACATGAATGCCTTGTAGTTAATTTCAAGATAAGTATCTTACAAGTGTTTCATGAAACATTTTTCTTTTCTAAAAGGCAAATTCAACATTATGAAAATACGTATTCTGCTGGGTAGTTACTGAGACATGTCAATCCTTTCAACTCTAAAGAACGATGTACACTGGCTGTGAGCCCCACTGCCGCGGCACGTGCTTCCGCTTCGCCTTCGGCATCGACATCTTCATGCAGATGTACAAGGACTAAGCTCATTGCTACGACGGCAACAACAAAACAAAAGAAAAATCCAATGAAGGATGGCAGGTGTAATAAGTTTCTGAGAAAGCAAAAACAAGACTTAGGTAAGGTTTCATAAAGAATTCTATAAGAACACTGAAATGTCAAGAATTCACTGAAAAGCCTTAAAGCCTAACGGGTTATTGCAGTGTCAGGCTAGCTGAGGTCTAAGGACATGTTCCCAGAAATAAAGCTAAAGGGCGCATGTGAGCTAAAGAATGGGCGTGGAAAATTCACACAACTATGTTTCAAATACTTTTTGCCTTTCATGCTGCTGTTGTTTTCTTAAGAGCCACCAGTGACTCTGAACTTAAATTATTCATCAAAATCACAAAACTAAAACAATAACATAAGAAAAAGACCAACAGCATCTTTAAGAAACTCGAATGTCCTCTCTTGGCCCTAGCATGTAAATGGTAGTTCTCTAACCTCAACGCACAGCAGACACTGGAAGTGGTGATTGTCCAAACGGCCTGATTGTCCATGACCTCAAAAGGAGATCTTTTATTTTTGTGATTTGGTTCTCATTAAAATCCTATACCAAGTAAAATGACAGTTCCCATGGCCTAAATTTTGTATTATACATATATGCTTTTTTCTTCTGAAAGCAACCTTACTCAGATTTCACATTTATCTTAGTACAGCATTAAAAAAGATTTACTAGATGGGTTGGAAAGCCAGAGGCACACAGCTCCTCAACCTGCCCTAGTAACCATACTTCACCAGATACATTAAAAGCTTCCTAACACCTAACCTAACACACACAAAACCCACACCTGTTTACCTTCGCAAGTCACATCGGTCTGAAATCCCATGGATTAAAGCAAGTTTTCCCTTTAAACACATAGTTTAGCCAGGTAAGCTACTGTATGATTAAAAGCAAACTTCATAAACTAAATAATCTTAAGAATAGTGGCCACCTATTTTTATAATTATATTTCAGGGATATGAGAATAGTTCATAAATTTTCAGAAAAATGAATGTGTGGGATCAACAGCTCTGGTTTAACATTTGGGAAAAAAGAATAAAACAGGTCAGAGATAAGACTTTTTCTCCGCATCCAAATTAGGTCTACTGATTCCTCCTTCCAGTACTGGCACGGTACAGTCTGATTCAGAATAGAAACATAAAACTATCAAAACATGAACATGTCAACATACATACGTGATAAGAGGAACACACATTAAGGAATATGATGGCCTTCACTTTTGTTTCTGAAGACAGACTGGGCTTCAAAAGACACTATCGTCTATTATGAGTCAAACCTTTAACAAGTGAGAACAGAGACCTATGTTTTTCTCTTTAAAAGAGGAGGCTCGAATGCGACGCACAGCCGACCTGCAGATTAGTGTTAACTCCGGGAGCTTGGGAGCTTGTACAACCACCGCATCCCTGCGTGCACCAGCACAGCGGCTAACCAGTCAGGCAGCAGAGCAACTGGCGGCAGTTTGCCACCGGTGCGTGCAGACACACAGTATGTTTCCCATCTTGGAGACTATCTACTGTCAGGGTTTTCTAAAATGTCAGATTATTCCTGAGTGTATATCCACAGGGTAAAGGAGGAAAAGAGCGTAAGAGAAACTTATAGTTTTGGGAGAAAACAGAGTTGTTGACATCCAATAGAAAACCTATTTACTTCAAAGTGCATGTAATTCATTTATCTGGTAGCTCGTAAAGGCTCCCTAGCCCTGCATAGTTTTAGAGTGAGTGTGAGTGAGTCATAGTTTTTTATATATATACATACATAAAAAAGAGGCTCCCAAATATCCTACAGATGAAGGAATGTTTAGAAAGCCCCTTTTCTTCTAAGTGCTACGGCTGTGTGTTTATGTGTTTGTAAAAATACAAAGTAAATGCTCAAATAATGTTGAAGTGATTTAAAAACTCAAATACTAATATATTTACATTGGAGAGTAAGAAAAAAACAGTCCTTAGCTCACACATTGCCCTTCCAAGGGAGAGGATCCTGAAAGACCCCATGTGCTCAGTGGTTTAGGAAATGCCAAACCAGCATCCCAGTGGAGTTCAAGTAGGACATGTAGTGTTGAACTGAAAACAATTTTTTTCCTTTTTTTCTGTTGGTGAGAAAGCACTATGCATTATACAACAACGTTTTATAGGACACCAAAATTTAGACATACTTTGAAAATCATTTAAAAGAAAGCATATGTTTACAAACACCAAATAACATCTATAAGACTGAAGCCCTTTTTTTTTTTTTTTTTTTTCCCATAGAGAGCAAGACAATTAAAGGCAGCGAGCAGTCAGTTCCCCCATTGCAAGCAACTGGAGAGTTGACGCTCAGAACTAGAAACTGTCAGTGTGACCTTTAAGTTATTTCACTATTTCCACTGCCCCTTTTTTCTTTTTTGAGACAGGGTCTCAATGTTGCCCAGGCGGGAGTGCTGTGGTGTAGTACAATCTTGGCTCACTGCATTCTCAACCTCCTGGGCTCAAGTGATCCTCCCACCTCAGCTCCCCAAGTAGCTGGGACTACAGATGCACACCACCACACCCGGCTAAGGTTTTTTTTTTTTTTTTTTTTCATTTTTTATAGAAATGGAGTTTCACCATGTTGCCCAGGCCAGTCCTGAACTCCTGAGTTCAAGTGATCTGCCCACCTCGGCCTCCCAAAGTGCCGATCACAAGTGTGAGCAACTGTGCCCCATCTCCACTGCTTTCTAATTCCGAGGGATCCGATCTCCTTAGAGCCTCTTCTGGTGATACTCTAATCCTTCTGACCAGAATGTACAGGGATTCTGGCTGCATCCACACTGTGGAAATGGAACAGCTTCAGCCTGGGCACAGAAGGCTTTTCTCCTTCCTGTTCTTTCCTAAACCAGCAAACTTCAGGACCCTGACTGGACTCTCGCTGGAGGAATGAAGCCCAGCTTCCAGGACTTGTTAAAAAAAAAAAAAAAGAAAAAAAAAAAGACATTAGATTTATGGAGACTGGGCGGGAAGATTTCTGAACTGAAACAATTACTGAAAAGAGAGGAGCATTCTGATGTGCTGTTCTTTGGAATTTCTATAATTAAAAAATAAACACAGAATTATTTAATAAGAAAATACATCTTAGTGTGCAATCCAATGCAAATGGATTGGTAGATGAAAGGTAAAATGCAAAAAAGTATGAAAATACAGTCCTTTAAATGTGGCAATAAAGTTTAACATACTAATATAAAATCAATACAGAGAAAATAAATGTACAAGTGCAAAAAATTCCATCATTTGTAAAGAGAAATAAAAAGTGCCAGCTTGCTCGCTCTTAAAAATGCTTCCCGACGTAATTGTTCAAACACAAATTAGACAGATGCAACATTTAAAAAAAAAAAACAAAACCTCCTTAGCATGCCATGTCTAACACATATATACATAAAAACTAGACCAAAATAATGTGAAACTGAGTTGTCAGCTGGCGTTGATAAACTGGTCTGTAAGTTGTTGGGTTACATCATAAAATGGGATGTTTCACATCTCAGGCACAGACGACTTGGAGGTTGCTCTCAGAGGGCAGATTTTTTGTAGAGGAAGTCTGGCTTGCTTGGTGACCTCCTTCCTCTGCTTATTGAATCTTCCCTTTCCAAATCTGTATTTCTCTGAGCTCCATGGCCCAGGGACTCACTGTCTGCCAGTCTTCTACTGGATCTCTCTTCAGGAGCTTCAGAGCTACATGCAGAAAGTGAAGGTCTGTTAGGAGTCAGCCCAAAAGTCAAGTCAGTTTCTACTGTGGTTCGTCCCCTGACATGGGCTGGACCGGTACTAGCATTTTCTGGCGCTGCCAAAGGAAAGTCTGACCTCTGGGGAGGCTGCTCGACGACGTCCAGGTGTATCGGCTCATTCTTTTGTCTGTGTAGATGCCCGTCAGGGGAAAGTGGATATTCTCTCCTAGCTTCTTCCTGTTTTTTAGGAGACGTCTGGCCAGGTAGGTAGGCTGACTTTAAGCCACTTGGTGATGCCTTACTGTGGCTGTACAAATCGGGACCAAAATATCCACCTTGTGAAGGGGAAGGGGTGTGTCTGCCGGGAGCAGGAGTAGAAGGTCTGCAAGCAGCATTTGAGAAGTCATAGAAATCCGGATATTCCTGTGGATTTTCTCTGGCATCTGTTTTTTGCTCTAGTGTGTGTTTTTTCCGAGAAGTGTGTGTATGCCTCTGTGGAATACATGACAGATGCTGGGGAGGCCCCGGTCCTGCTTCAGAAACTGACTGGCTTAATTCTGTGTCTACAGCAAGCTCTGGAAGCCTCCTGTCCTTGAGTGACAGTGTGGACACACCCACAGCGATGTCTGGCATCAGATCGTTCAGCACAGGTTGTGTTCGCTGCAGACAGAGAACAAATGGTGGGGGGGGGTTAAAGAAAAGGACCCATCCTCTGTAAAAATGATGTCCACCGATTTTGTTTCCCAATTATAAAAGTAACACGTGTGCTGAATATTTAAGAAATATAAAAATACAGAAAGCTATAAAGGCAAAAAAAATCACTGCAATCTTTTGAACAGAAATATCACTGTTAGCATTTTGAGGTCTTTCTTTTTATGTTTTTCTCCTTTGCTATTTATTAATTTTTACAAAATTTAGCACATACATAATTCTGTCAATGTATTGATGAACCACGACTTAACCACTCAGCTACTATTGGACATTTAGGTTGTTTCCAATTTTTCATTACTATAGTCAAGACTGCAATGAATATATAAATAAATTACCTTTAAAAGGAGTTTTACTTAAAATATAAAGTTGTAGAACTTCTGTGATTGTAGAACTGAGGGCCCAGGCCAACAGAATGGAAATCTGGTTTATCAAACACTACTGACCTTCGCTCTTCTGGGGTGGGGGAAGCAGGTAGAAGAGGTAGAGAGGTATAAGAAGGTGAGAAAGGCTTTCTGTGCTAACAGTGCTCCTGCAAACATGGTGAGCCTTCCTAAAACCCACTGGACTTTCTGTCACAAGTATGGCAAACACTAATCCCACAAAGTGACACAGTAGAATAAGGGCAAGGATTCTTTGTATGTCCAGGGAAAGCAGCATGATAGGAAGCGGAGTGACTATGGTGGGCAGACTAGGCCAATTTTCCAGGAAAAGATGAAAACTACAAAGAAGATTGTGCTGAAGCTTGAGTGCTGAGCTCAACTGCAGATCTAAGAGAATACTAGCTATTAAGAGATGCAAGCATGCTGAACCTGGAGAAGATAAGAGAGAGGGACAACTGATCCAGTTCTAAGCATCATCTTTTGTTTCACTGCGAAGATGATACATTCTTAAGGTTATGTTAAAAAGAAAAGTTGAGAAAGGATCATAATTTGACTCAGGGATATATACTAGTCCACAGGTTCCAATAAGCCATATTTTAACGAAGCTTCCCTGAACTAATAGGTAAATCTTTTCTTCTAACTTGCTACTGATAGCACATGACTGAATAGGAAGACTTAAAAATCAATTTTTTTTTTTTTTTTTTGGAGACAATCTCACTCTGTTATCCTGGCTGCAGGGCAGTGGTGTAATCATAGCTCACTGCAGCCTCAACAACCTCCTAGGCTCAAGTGATCCTCCCACCTCAGCCCCATGAGTAGCTGGGACTACAGGCATGTGCTACCACACCTGGCTAATTCGTTTATTTATTTGTTAGAATCGGGGTCTCACTACGTTTCCTAGGCTGGTTCTGAACTCCTGGGCTCAAGTGATCCTCCCCCTTCAGCCTCTTATAGTGTTGGAATTAGAGATGTGAGCCATGGCACCTGACCCCCCCAAAAAAAAATTACTATTTTTTTCAAGTGTATTATATAAAATCTCTAATGCCATGCAAAATCAAGCAAAGAATCCTCTACCAATTTACTACCTACCAGCCCTAGCTACTGTGATTCTAAGTGAAGTGGGGGCTCTGATGATGAGCTTCAGAGGCAGAGGCATGCTTGAGGCCTCATTTTCTGCCCATCTTCTGAATGTAGCTAGGACTACATTCCTGTAGTCCTAGCTACTCATGGAGCTGAGGTGGGAGGATCACTTGAGCCTAGGAGGTTGTTGAGGTTGCAGTGAGCTATGATTACACACCACTGCCCTGCAGCTGGGACGACAGAGTGAGGCTGTTTCAAAAAGAAAAGTTTTTTCCACATTATTCCTGGTGGTATATTGTACTTAGCTATAAGTTGCTCTTGCTTCTTGTCCCATTAAAGCATGTAGTACAATAGTGGATTTTACAGAATAGTAGAAGTTAGGGACAAATTCTAGACCCGTGCTTGAATAGAACATGAAAATGGTATATTCCTTTATACTGCTCAGTAACCCCACTCCTTCCTAATCCTGGCAAAAATCCTGGCAAATGAACACAAAGATAAGAAGACACTCAGTTCCTCCATATACATCTCTGGTCTCTCTCCTATCTTTTCTCATTCATGTACGTTAGCGTTTCTCCCTCTTTTCCATACCCCTCAAGTCTATGCCTTCCGCTTGTCAGCAATCCTCTGGGCACTGCTGAGTCTCAGTGGAGCTCTTGGGGCCAAGGAAATTGCTTCTAATAGTCCATAAACTGAATCTGAAGCAAGTTACTGAAGTGTTGACTTACCACTTGCTTCTCAGATGCTGCTGCTGCTGCTGTTGGGGTGGTGGTGGTGGCGGCGGCAGCCACCGTCTGTCTGCTCAGTCCTGCAGTGCTGGTACAATCAGGAGGCGCTGCTTTAACACTTGGCAAGTAGACTGGGGGAGGGCCAGCTTTAGGAGCTGTTCTGGAGTGGAACAGCGAATGATTACAGGGATAAGAAAATGAACGTGAAGGGTGCTGACTGGGAGGTCTTTGTTTCCAGCCTGCTTTGAGCTGGTTATGGATTGGGGTAGCTGGGGGGTGGTAGGGAGGTGGTGGAGGAGGCAAGGGTGGATGGAAGGCCACAAAAGAGTCCAGATCTGTAAACATGGTTTCTGCAGGAGGGGTACTGTTTACACGACATCTCCCAGGCTGTCTCATTGTCAAGAGAGGACTTTCATCCCCAAAACGTTCATCAGGAAAGAATTTGTGAGGATTCTAAGATTAAAAAAAAAAAAAAGGACATTTATTAGCATATTTCATAAATGGAAATTTATAAGCTGAGAGAATTAAGTGAGGTACTTAAGAAAACCACAGTCAGCAAGAATAAAAAGCATAATATATTCTTCTAGGCCAGAAGCCCAAGAAAAAAAATCACCTTAGTTATAGTATAACAGCACAGAGTACTACCTAGGACACAGCCATCAAAGAAAGCTGCTTGACTAAATGCTCCAGCAAGCAGGTCAGTCATGTCTTGCAAAATTATGTGATAATGCAAAAACAGGTAATAAACCCAAACTCAAACATGTCTTTGCTAAGAGATTAGCATTAAATGCCAAAGGAAGAAAGGAATACAACTGAGGATGCTCTAGAAACTTTCTGACAAAACATCTGTGCCTGCTCTGCCTGAAATAAAACTACAAAATACTACTCCTCACCCATTATCTATGACTAAGTTTGATTAATATTTTGGTAAACATTATAAAAGAATACTTCATGCAATTTAAGATATCAAATTCAGACACAATTTAGAATGGCAAAAGGAAAATAAATGAGTAGAAAACCAGACCATATATTTTAAGAAGAAAAACTGTAGCAAAAAAATGAAAATCAACAACCTAAAACAAGAGCCTAAAAATGTTCAGTAGAAAATTAGGCAAGCAGGGGGAAAAAAAGAATCTAAAAATAGTTTGCTGACTTGCTGAAGAACCCTGTACCACGCTTATCTATCCATTCATTCATTTACTTATTGTTTTAAGACAGGGTCTCAGTCTGTGGCTCAGGCTGGAGTGCAGTGATACAATTATGGCTCACTGCAGCCCTGACCTCCTGGGTTCAAGTGATCTTCCTACCTAAGCCTCCTGAGGAACCAGGACTACAGGTGCATACCACTCACTATGCCTGGCTAATTTACTATATTTTTTGTAGAGATAGGATTTTTGCCATATTGTCCAGGCCAGTCTTGAACTTGAGCTCAAGCAATTTGCCCGCCTTGGCCTCCCAAAGTGCTGGGATTACAGGTGTGAGCCATTGCGTCCAGCCTATTCTTTTTTTTTTTTGAGATAGAGTCTTGTTCTGTCGCTCAGGTTGGAGTGCAGTGGAGCAATCTTGGAGGCTCACAGCAAACTCTGCCTCCTGGGTGCAAGCAATTCTCTTGCCTCAGCCTCTCGAGGCTGGGACTACAGGCCTGTGCTACCACATCTGGCTAATGTTTACATTTTCAGTAGAGACGGGGTTTCACCATGTTGGCCAGGCTGGTCTTGAACTCGTGACCTCAGGTGATCCATCCACCTTGTCCTCCTTAAGAGCTGGGTTTATAGCCATGAGCCACTGCACCCAGCCACATCCTATCCTTTTGAAGGGTAAGGATTAAAGGGGTTTGGAGTTAGTAGCAAGAAAATCAATCACTTGACCAGATGAAATTAAATTTTATTTAAGGCTCTGATTTAGTGGCTGTGATCAGACTACTTTACAAATTCTAACTTAATTGTAAAACCAATGCTATTGCTTTTAATCTAATAATTACTAGAAATGAGTTTTTTCTTTTTTCCTGGTAGGTTAAAAAAGAAAGCACTTATTCTTTGATTCTCATGTTTGGGTTTGAACCCTCATGGAAAAAATTTCTTATAAGATGGAAGAGAGAAACAAAAGGGGGTACATGGAAGATGTGTAAGCATGGTATTAGACCAAACCTGAAACCTAGTGACCAAACGAGGAAGAGAGAGCAGTGGAAGTTCAGAATCTTCTATTTCCAGGCCATCTCTGCTGGGCATGCACACTATGAATTTTTTTAGCAGTCGCCATTTGTATGCTTGCTACATACCAGATATATAGCTGCTGTACAGTAGCAATCTGGATCTTCAAAACGATCTGTTTTACAGGTAAAAGAGCTGATGCCCAAGGTGGTTAAGTAACTCCAAGTTAACCAACTAGTAAGCAACAGAGCTGGGATCTAAACCCAGTTCTCATTCTGGACCTCTGCTCAGTTCACTTCATGACACGGCCTCTCACCAGGAGGGACTTGCAGGTTATCAAAGACAACCAAAGGCAGTGAAAAAGCACATACAAAGAAAAGGAAGCAAGCTGAAGGCTCATCAGGATGTCTACAACACTGCCTGTGAGGCTCCCTATTTTAAACAGTTTAATGTCATTTCCTACCTGCAAGAGCTCTGCAGCAGCATCTGCAAGACCAAACTCTCTCAGCACTCGAATCTGAATTTCATAGCTGACGGTGGCGCCCTCCCCGCAGTTCAGCGCATAGGCCCTCTGCACCTGCTCCGTGTGCCGCAGCTCCTGCAGTCGTCTGACCATGTCTTTCATAATGAGGAGACGAGGAACTGGAAGGAGAAAAACAGTGGGCAAGAAAAATTCCTGAGCTACACAGAAGACGACCCTGTGAGCCCAAGGGAAAAAAGCACGTTTCATACCAGAATCTTTTTTTTTTTTTTTTTTTTTTGAGACGGAGTTTTGCTTTTGTTACCCAGGCTGGAGTGCAATGGCGCGATCTTGGCTCACCGCAACCTCCGCCTCCCGGGTTCAGGCAATTCTCCTGCCTCAGCCTCCTGAGTAGCTGGGATTACAGGCACGCGCCACCACGCCTAGCTAATTTTTTGTATTTTTAGTAGAGACGGGGTTTCACCATGTTGACCGGGATGGTCTCGATCTCTTGACCTCATGATCCACCCGCCTCGGCCTCCCAAAGTGCTGGGATTACAGGCTTGAGCCACCGCACCCGGCCCATACCAGAATCTTATATATTTTTTAGATAGTATTTTAATTTTCTAGGAACATACTAATTTATATACCTCTAATTATTTTTCAAGGTTTTAAAATTTCACTATGCCCAAAAGGCTCTTGATCATACTGAACAGCCCCTGAGTTGTATTATTTTAGTTTACAGTTCAAATATAATTTTACTTGCATGTATTCTCATCTGAATCTCAAGATATTTCAGAAGTCTTTAAATATATTAATTTTTTTGTTCAAATAATTTTTTGAGTCCTAACTATGCACCAGAAATTGGACTTGGATATTAGGGTACACAGAATGAAACACATGATTACTCTCCTCAAAAGGTTCTGGCTTGATGATATAAACTAAACCGGAAGTAAACAATACAATATAGGGTCATAAATGCTCATGGAGAGAACTGAAGGACTGGGAGGAAGGGCACCTAGCCAGAGTGAGGGCAGACAAGAAAGGCTTCAAGGTGTACACAGAGCAGATTCTTGAAGAATGAAGGGAAACCAGACAGGGGAAAAGAAAAGCTTTCTGAGCAGAAGGACTGGGTATGTGTAAAACATGCAGTAAGAGAGAGCCTGGCAGAAGTGGTTGGCATGGCCAGCAGAACTTAGGGTTCAGAGCTATAAGCAGGAGGAGTGTGAAGAGAGAAGGCAGAAAGATGGCTACTGGCAGATCATGGATAAAGAATTTAAATTGTATCCTGTGCAGAACAGGCAGTGACTTGTGCAGGAGGATGACAGGATCAGAGCTGTGAACAAGTGCACTCTGATGCTGGTGTAAAATGGGCAGGCATGCTGTGGCTGGTAGGCTAAGTCAAGCTTGCTGTCTGCCTTTGTAAATAAAGTTTTACTGGAATGTAACTGTATCCATTCATTTAGGTACTGTCTATGGCTGTTGTATGGGAGTTGGGTAGATAGATAGAACAGAGACTGTATGGCATACAGAAACCAAAGTATTTATCATCTGGCCCCTTCTCGAAAAAGTATGTTGGCCGACCACTGGTGTAAAGAACAGAATTTTGAGTAAGATAAGAGGCAGGAACACTGTTTACAAACCTGAACTAGGGCTGTAGCTGTAGGGTTGGAGAGGGGATGGAGTCTATAAATATTTATGAGAGAAACTGACTAGAGCAGTGATTATTGTTTTTTAGGGATAAAAGGGACTAGCGTTTACTGAGTGCTTTCTCTAAGCCAGGCAAACTCCTCTGCATATTATTTGCAGTGCTTCATTAAATCCTCACAACTCTAGAAAGAAGGTATTAGCCCCAATTCATGGATGAGGAAATTAATGTTTGGGAAAGAAAATATTAATACCTTGTCCAAAGTCATACAAAGTAACAGAGCCAGGATATGAGCCCCCTAATCCTCTGGAACAAGATAGCTATCCTTTCATGAATGTGGTGGGCAAGGAAGTGAGAAGAACCCAGGATGATACCAGAATAGGGCCATACCTCATTAGCCAAACAACAGAGAGACAAGTCTTATCTTTCTGAGCATACTTGAGACTGTCTAGACTTTTGAGACCGAGTTCTAAATTATGCTGATATTCAACTGCATTAACTCAAGCCTAAAAAGCCGTGATAATTAGCAAAGCTTCAAAATCTGCATAAATCAGCTAAAGAAATATTTCATGTTGTCAACTAATGTGTATTTCAACTAGTGGCCAAATTTGATAAGGTAACAAGTGAAGAAAGTCATTAGCTCTAGAATAAAATATTCACTTAAAAGTTCTGTCACTGTCTTTCATTCATCTTTAATTATAATAGACATTTATAAGCAGAAATAAATAAGTGCTAGTTCCACTGCTATAGTTTGCTGATTTTGAATCTTGCAACGGCAATTAGCAAGTGCTACAAGTTTCTGACCACCAGATCACTGTTGGTTTTTTCGGTCTGTTGCTTTTTTTTCTTTGGTTGAAGTCAACATTAACTAATGCTTAAACGTTTTTGGACATGACAGTTATACCCTGATTGACGGCCAATTCCCCTAAAGTCATACAACATATAAACCTGTGCTACAGTAAACTTCACAGAGCAGAACTTGGGAAACTGGGTCTCTGGGAAACTGGATCTCTAGGAAACCCAGAGTGATCACATTTTGGAAGGCCATGGACTAAAAGGTAAAATAAGCGCGTATGACCCTCCCAAAGGGTCTTATAACCTGAGAAATACCCTATGGTGGTCAAAAAGTCTGAATTTCTCTAAACCAGTGGTTCTCAAAATGGGTGTCTTTGTCCCACAGGGCACAACTGGCAATGTCTAGAAATATAAAAATGTTTCCAAAAGGTTTCCACAAAGGTGTGTGTGCATGCACATATGTGCTCCTAGCATTTAGGGAGTAAAGGCCAGGGATGCAGCTGAACACCCTACAAAGCACAGGACAGCTCTCTATTAACAGAATAATCCAGCCCCAAATGTCAATAAGACAAAGGCTGAGAAACTCAAGGGTAAACTGATAACCTGTATATACTTAGTAATATAAAATAAAATATAAAGCAAAAGTTTTGGCTTATAAGTATTTCTTATTGTTAATTATACTCTAAGTTCTGAGATACATGTGCAGAACATGCAGGTTTGTTACACAGGTATACCTGTGCCATGGTGGTTTGCTGCACCCATCAACCCGTCATCTACATTAGGTATCTCTCCCAATGCTATCCCTCCCCTAACCTGCCATCTCCCATAAGTATTTATTCTTTTTTTTTTTTTTGAGACAGAGTTTCGCTCTTGTTACCCAGGCTGGAGTGCAATGGCGTGATCTCGGCTCACCGCAACCTCTGCCTCCTGGGCTCAGGCAATTCTCCTGCCTCAGCCTCCTAAGTAGCTGGGATTACAGGCACGCGCCACCACGCCCAGCTAGTTTTTTGTATTTTTAGTAGAGACGGGGTTTCACTATGTTGACCAGGATGGTCTCGATCTCTCGACCTCGTGATCCACCCGCCTCGGCCTCCCAAAGTGCTGGGATTACAGGCTGAGCCACCGCGCCCGGCCGAGTATTTATTCTTTAAGAAGAACAAAGCATAATGGGTATTGAAATGTGGAGATAATTAGCATATACAGAGGGGTTCAAACATCAGCAATTTCAAAAAATAATAAGATTATTCATTTAAATATAAACACCCAACATACTGCCTTACCTGGAATTTCATTGGCCACAACTGAAGGAGGGCTTGACTGGTTGCTGCTGATCTGCTGGTGGCTGATCATGTGACAACACTGTGGCACGGCATTATTGACCATGTAGAGTGTGTCTGGCACATTGGACATTCTAACCATTCGCAAGCGCACAAGATCTGTTTGTTCCACCATCATCTCATCTAGCACTGACTGAAATAATCATTCAGTATTAACAAACCAGTCAACCCTCCTCTGTGTTAAATCACATTTGAAGGAAGATTATTACTTTCATCAAACAAAAAGGGAATTAATGTATTTCTATTTTATAAATGTTAGTATTAGTGGTGAAAGAAAGTACCCCTGCCATTTTAACTTAAAGACTCTTTGGAGCATCTTTGAAAAGACATAACCATCTTTTGAAAAGTCTGCTTTTAATTAGAAGTACTTGAAATGTGAAAGAAGGATATAAAATTAATCAGAACTACATTACACACAATAGTATAATAAAGAAAACAATGTATACATGTGCTAAATAACAAATCCAACGAAGTGCTCAAAATAAAAAATACTAAAGATTGATAATCAGGGCCGGTTGTGGTGACTCACGCCTGTAATCCCAGCACTCTGGGAGGCTGAGGTGGGCAGATACCTGAGATCAGGAATTCAAGACCAGCCTGGCCAACACAGTGAAACCCCGTCTCTACTAAACATACAAAAATTAGCTGGATATGGTGGCAGGAGCCTGTAATCCCAGCTACTCGGGAGGCTGAGGCAGGAGAATCGCTTGAACTTGGGAGAAGGTTGCAGTGTGCCAAGAGCTCACAACTGTACTCTAGCCTTTGTGACAAGAGCGAAACTCCATCTTAAAAAACAAACAAACAAAAAAACCCAAAGATTCATAATCAACTCAAGAGTCTGATAAATAAACCAATTTTTCTTTTTTGAAGAAAAAAGAAAAACGTTGCCCAGGCTGGAGTAGAATGGTAGCATCATGGCTCACTCACTGCAGTCTTGATCTCCCAGGCTCAAGCAACCTTCCCACTTCAAGCCTCCTGAGTAGCTGGGACTACAAGAGCACACCACCATGCCTGGCTATTTATTATTTATTTTTTTATTAGAGACAGGGTATCAATAGGTTGCCCAGGTTGGTCTTGAACTCCTGGACTCAAGTGATCCTCCTGCTTCAGCCTCCCTAAGTGCTGAGATTACAGGCATGAACCATCACATCTGGTCTAAAAATGAGAAACATTTTGAGGCAACTTGATTGTATAGAGTATACAAACTGTTTGATCTGATAAATTTATTTCAGAAAGCTTAATGGTGATTTCTTACTTTCAAAGACTGTCAGCTCCTCAAAAGGTTACTTAAAGTTTTTTTTTTTTTTTTGAAGACAGGGTTTTACTCTGTCACCCAGGCTGGCGTGCAGTGGCACAATCATGGCTCACTACAACCTCTGCCTCCCAGGCTCAGGTGATCCTCCTACATCAGCCTTCTGAGTAGCAGAAATCAGAGTGCACGCCACCATAACTGACTGAATTTTTTAGTTTTTGGTAGAGATGGGGGTTTTAACATGTTGCCCAGGATGGATCCCCAAAAGTTCTTATGGTTGAATACATCTAATAAAAATTAGATGCTTCTGGCCGGGTGTGGTGGCTCACGCCTGTAATCCAAGCACTTTGGAGGCCAAGATGGGCGGATCACCTGAGGTCGGGAGTTCAAGACCAGCCTGACCAACACGGTGAAACCCCATCTTAAAAAAAAAGAAGAAGAAAATGAAAAAAAAAAAAAGAGAAAAATTAGATGTTTCATTTTCACATTACTGTATTTTCTTGGATAGTTCTTTATATGTTACATACAATACACATAATGCCAACTATTTACTTAATGGGCCTGACATTTATTCTTAGTTTGTGCATTTATTCTAAAACAAAACATAATTCCCAACAGTCAGCTATTACAGAATTACATTATAAGAGGTCGAAGCATTCCTTTAATTTATGAAGAAAGACAAAATGTGGGCAATTTTCTTTCAGAACATCTCCCCCATCCTCAAGATCACAAAATAGACAACCATTTTCAGTAAGTGGTAACAATTTGCAAGGCAACTAAAATGAGAAAAACATAAAACACATTTTAATATAACCAAAGTTTTAAAAACATGCTTAATTAAAATTAAACATTTTAGAAAATTATTCTGTTGAGTAGTCAAACTGGAATTTACTTTCATTTTCCCTACTGTTGAAAATACAGGTTATTTTGAAATATTTAAATAACACTAAAACAAACCACTTTGTGCACACAGTTTGTAATAAAGCAGTCTACTATCTTCAAACGGTTTTCATTACCTTTGCTTCTTCCACATAGGGAGAGAAGAGTCGAGGACGAACATAGATGCCAGCATTTTTTTGCCGTAACCAGGCATTTGACTTCCCACCTTCTGTTGTAGGAAGCATATCTGATGGAGGAGTACTAATCAAGCCTCTTTTCAGCTAAAAAAAAATTTTTTTTTAGATAGAAATCTGTGTAGTGCTACAAATACTACTAAGATAGATAAAAATATTTATAACTGTAAACAAAAATATGCAAACTTTATCATTTAAATAAAAATTTAGAAATATATGTGAAATTTAGAAATTCACATTTTAATAATATTTAAAAGATTCTGCAATAGAAATATCATAATTTCCCATTTTTCTCTAAATAGAGGAATAGTATTTTTAAAAACAGACACATTAATTGAAATGTGGTAAGTTGGATAAACATCAGAACTCTTAATGAAAACCAATTTTCTTTCTTCCTTACTCATCTAGGAACAAATTTAGTACCCACCCAACTCCCCAAGACAAAACAAGAACACTGACATGGGCCTGAATGCACAGCGCAGGGATACAGGAAGGCGAGCACAGTGCTTAGCAATACAGGCTCTGGGGCAAGGCAGACATAGCTCAAACTTCAACTCCCACATTTAACAGCCATGTGACCAGGGACATCTATGTTACCTGGGCCTCACTTTAAGGGTTACCGTATGGCCCTGGAGGTAAGGCAGTGCACAACTAACTGAATGAGGTATCCCTGTTGTTTCCTGATTGATGCTAGGAGAATCTACATCAAGTACCTTTACTTCCTAAGGTGGTGTGAGGATTAAATGAAGGTAATACAGATGAAAGCACCTGCCACAGTGCTTAGCACATACTAAGAGAACATGAAAGTTAAGAGCCATTATTGGCAAACTTTTACTGGGGACTTAGACTGTATTAGGCACAGAATTAAGAGCAGAGGTATAGGCCAGGCATGGTGGCTCACACCTGTAATCCCAGCACTTTGGGAGGCTGAGGCGGGTGGATCACCTGAGGTCAGGAGTTCAAGACCAGTCTGGCCAATATAGTCAAACCCCGTCTCTACTAAAAAATACAAAAAAATTAGCCAGGCATAGTGGCACACGCCTGTAGTCCCAGCTACTCAGGAGGCTGAGGCAGGAGAATTGCTTGAACCCAGGAGGTGGAGGTTGCAGTGAGCCAAGATTGGGTCACTCACTCTAATGTACCACGCCAGCTTAGACAAGAGAGTGAGGCTTCATCTCAAAAAAAAAAAAAAAAAAAAAAAAAAAAAAAAAAAAAAAGGCAGAGGTATGTGTTTCCTAACCAAAGTTCTAAAATACTTTTCTAAGCTATATACAGGGTTCAATATGATTTGAGTCCCAGGTTTTAAACAAAACCAAAAAATTGTTTCTCCAATATTACTCTCATTAAATATAATAAACAGCTGCATTAGTTAAAATTACTTTTAACTAGTAAAATACAGCATTACCTAGTATTTAGAAAAGAGAGAAAAGAAAAAAAAGTCAATACTCTGATCACAACTGTAATGTTGATATATTTCCTTCCAGTCTTTTCCTTTCCTTTTTTTTTGAGACAAGGTCTCACTCGGTTGCCCAGGCTGGAGGGCAGTGGCGAGATCTTGGCTCACTGCAACCTCCACCTCCTGGGTTCAAGCAATTTGCTCACCTCAGTTTCTCAAGTAGCTGGCACTACAGGTGCACACCACCATGCCTAGCTAATTTTCGTATTTTTTGGTGGATACAGGGTTTCACCATGCAGACCAGGTCAGTCTCCAACTCCTGAACTCAATCCACCTGCCTTGGTCTCCAAAAGTGTTGGGATTACAGGAGCCTGGATGAGTCTTTTCCAAATGAATTTTTACATAGATGAATTTGAGAATTCATAAAAATACATACTTTATATCATCCTTCTCTTCTCCTTTTTTTTTTTTTTGAGATGGAGTTTCACTTTTGTTTCCCAGGCTAGAGTACAATAACACAATCTCTGCTCACCATAACCTCCACCTCCTGGGTTCAAGCGATTCTCCTGCCTCAGCCCCCCAGAGCAGCTGGGATTGTAGGTGTGTGCCACCATGCCCAGCTAATTTTTTGTATTTTTAGTAGAGATGGGGTTTCACCATGTTGACCATGCTGGTCTTGAACTCCTGATCTCAGGTGATCCACCTGCCTCCACCGCCCAAAGTGCTGGGATTACAGGCGTGAGCCACCATGGCTGGTTTGTCTTCTTTTTTTTTTTTTTTTGATAGTCTTGCTCTGTCACCCAGGCTGGAGTGCAGTGGCACAATCGTGGCTTGCCTCTGGGTTCAAGAGATTCTCATGCCTCAGCCTCCCGAGTAGCTGGGATTAATAGTGTGCACCACCATGCCTGGCTAATATTTGTATTTTTTAGTAGAGATGGGGTTTCACCATGTTGGCTAGGCTGGTCTTGAACTCTTGACCTCAGGTGATCCACCTGCCTCGGCCTCCCAAAGTCCTGGGATTACAGGTATAAGCCACCACGCCTGGCCATTATATAGTCTTTATAACAGCTGCTCAAGGTAGCAAAATATTCCATTGTGTAGTGGTACCATAGCTACTACCTTAATAGGTGAAAAAATAACTTACTATTTTATTTTGCTTTCGTGGGTGTGTGTGCAATTAGTGAGGCTGAACCTTCTTTTCTAATGAGAGTTCACAAATATTTCTATTATAAATTATTATTATTATTATTATTATTATTATTATTGAGACAGAGTCTTGCTCTATCGCCCAGGCTGGAGTACAGTGGTGCAGTCTCAGCTCACTGCAACCTCCGTCTCCCACATTCAAGCGATTCTCCTGCCTCAGCCTCCTGAGTAGCCGGAACTACAGGCGCATGCCACCACATCTGGCTAATATTTTGTACAGACTGGGTTTCACTGTGTTAGCCAGGATGGTCTCAATCTCCTAAACTTGTGAGCCAACCGCCTTGGCCTCCCAAAGTGCTAGGATTACAGGCATGAGCCACTACGCCTGGTCTAAGTTTTAATTTTATTTATTTTTATCGCTGCTCCCTATGGAGCAGGGCTACCCCACAGGCAGTATGCCCAGAGTAGCCCATAAATATTTCTTGAAAACAATATTGTTTTCTTCTAGTTCTTCCATGTTTCAATTTAGTATTTAATTTTTCAATCTAACAAGGATTAATTTTGTGTGCCAGTGAAATAATGGTTTAACTTTCAATGAATTTCGTCTTATGGTAATCAGTTAATATCAGTTAATATAGCACTACATTGATCTGTGATAGTTTATTATTATAGTTTCTGTTTTTTTTTTTTTTTTTTTTTCTTTTTGTTCTTTGAGACGGAGTCTCACTCTGTTGCCTGATTATGGCTCAATGCAGCCTTGACCTCCCATGCTCAAGTGATCCTCCTACCCAGCCTCCCAAGTAGACGGGACTACAGGCACACACCACCACACCCAGCTAAATTGTTTAAAATTTTTTTATAGAGATGAGGTCTTGCTATGTTGCTCAGGCTGATGCTGAACTCCTGGGCTAAAGTGATCTGTCCGCTTTGGTCTCCTAGAATGCTGGGATTACAAACATAAGCCACCGTGCCCATCCTGTTTAAATTCTTGTATTAACTAAGACATTTTTCTTGACAATTTTGTCTCCTATGTTAGCATCACAGATAAAATATTAGCATATTGATAAAATATTAGCATTTAAAACGTTTTATGTTTTAGAAGTTATCCCTTATGTCTTTATTTATTTATTTATTTATTTAGAGACAGAGTCTTGCTCTGTCATCAGGTTAGAGTGCAGAGGAGCAACCTCGGCTCACTGCAACCTCCTCTTGAGTGGTGATTCTCCTGCCTCAGCCTCCTGAGTAGCTGGGACTACAGGCACACACCACCACACCTAACTAACTTTTGTATTTTTATTAGAGACGGTGTTTCACCATGTTGGCCAGGATGGTCTTGGTCTCTTGACCTCATGATCTGCTCGCCTCAGCCTCCCAAAGTTTTGGGATTAAGGCGTGAGCCACCATGCCTGGCCCTTATGTCCTTTTAAAAGAAGTTTAAAAAATTTCTTATCAGTTCTTTTTCCAGATGACTTTTATAATGTTCCTGTGCATTTAAAAAACTATTATGATGTTATGCACTACATTAAGTTTATAAATCAATGGGTGAAGAACTAATTTTGTTTATTTTTCCCATCCATGAATTTAAGCAATTCTATCAATTTGTTTTTTTAAAGATAGAGTCAGGCTGGAGTGCAGTAGTGCAATCTCCGCTCACTGCAATCTCCATCTTCCAGGTTCATGCAATTCTCCCACCTCAGCCTCCTGAGTAGCTGGAATTACAGGTGCCCGCCACCATGCCCAGCTTCTTTTTGTATGTTTAGTAGAGATGGGGTTTCACTGTGTTGGCCAGGCTGGTCTCAAACTCCTGACCTCAGGTGACCCACCAGCCTTGGCCTCCCAAAGTGCTGGGATTACAAGCGTGAGCTACTGTGCCCGGCCAATTCTATTAATTAAAAAAAAAAAACAAAACTCACTGTTTAAAAAGTTATGAAAGTAACAAGATCAGCTCTATAGTTTTCAGGTCCATTCATTCTTTTTATATTGAACCAGTCCCTCCACTCCACTGCTCTCTGATTCACTGCTGTTCTTGAAGAGTCTCCAAAGGCAGTTTCTACCATTTCCTTTTTGAATAAGGGTCTACTTGATCTACACTTAAATGAGTGTATTAACTCTGCTAGAAAGAATGCTCTTGCACGAGTAAGACTGATGTACCCACTCAACTCTCATTCAACGAACATTTGAACTGTACTATGTGACAGACATTTGTACTATGTACAAACTGTACTGGGGACACATTGCACATAATAGACATCTGTCTCTGTCCTCATAGAATTTACAGCTTCACAATACTCTGTTAGTAAGAGAAATTATTTACAATGAATAAAAACATAAGCCTGGCATTTTTCTTTTCATGAAAGGAATACATGGAGAAAAACACTTACTGCATCACTTAAGACTTCACTGTTTATAGGTAAGATGTGTTCAATTCGCACGAAAGGTAAGAGAGAAGAAAGGATCTCTCTGAGCTCTTCCATGTCCAGGTCTCGTCTTTTTACACCTCTTTTGTTCACACTATGGGCAGTGCCACTCAGTATGTTTGGCTCTACGAGACAGAAAATGAAAAGTTTCCAACCAAATCCAAATGTTCTGAAGAGAGGTTTGCTTTGTTCTCTAGTACATACACTCACAGGACCACTCAATAGACTTATGTGCCTCTGCTTTAAAAAGGGTTATAAATCAATTATTTTTCTGTCATAAGATGTTTGTTTAATAGGAATGTTCTTGGATAAAGGAAAAGCATGGTATCAACAATACAGTAACATTCTTTTATCACTGCTCTACAGTATAGAATAAAGGATTCCTTTCTGTAGACAAACTCAAAGAGAAAAGATGACAATCTATTAAAATCTAGTTTTACCAGGGGCTTTTAAAAAGCTTTCTAACAGTTTTAGTATTATAAGGTCACTTCAGGGCATATGCTATTTCTGGTCACTGCAGGTTATCAGTATGCTCATTAGCCTACATAAGTGTAACAGCAATTTAACAACATGTTAATCACTTGGTGTTTGAGGCAGCAAAGCCTAATGTTCTTTATTTAAAGATTCTTATGAAAATCTCCCAAATTTCTACAATATGGGAATGTTACTACATAAAAGTAGACGCTCTGATCTTTGACATGTAATATACGTCCATTGTCCAGAGCAGAGAATGTTTTCTTCATGGTGCATTAGTTAAAGACAATCTGAAATATATATATGCTTATAATATTGATGTGAGAAGAAAAATTACATTAATTTTGGAAATCTTTAATCATGTCTTTAATCTAGGGACCTGTAATTTTTTTCTTAAGAAAATTAACACAGAATAAAATCTTTATTATTATTATTATTATTTTTTATTTATTTATTTTTTTTTTGAGACGGAGTTTTGCTTTTGTTACCCAGGCTGGAGTGCAATGGCGCAATCTCGGCTCACCGCAACCTCCGCCTCCTGGGTTCAGGCAATTCTCCTGCCTCAGCCTCCTGAGTAGCTGGGATTACAGGCACGTGCCACCATGCCCAGCTAATTTTTTTTTATTTTTAGTAGAGACGGGGTTTCACCATGTTGACCGGGATGGTCTCGATCTCTTGACCTCGTGATCCACCCGCCTCGGCCTCCCAAAGTGCTGGGATTACAGGCTTGAGCCACCGCGCCCGGCCCAAAATCTTTATTATTAATGAATATAAATGCTGGATTTTTTTTTCAAATATTCTGTAGGAAAACTGTTATCTTCCTTAAATCGTGTGTGTGTGTGTGTGTGTGCGTGCGCGTGTGTGTGTGACAAAAAGAGAAAGAGAAAGGGAGAGAAAGAGAGAGAGAACTGATTGTTTCTGAGAAGCTAAGTTTTTTCTAGATTAATTCAGAATAAAACTGTTGTGAACTGTGTAGAAAAGAGTTTTTTTTTTTTTTTTTCTTTTTCTCCCTTTGCTTATCTATGATTTAGCTTCGTACTTATTTAAGGAATTTTGCTTTTCAAAATGTTTTTCTTAAAGTAGTGGCATCCTGTTTTCATATAAAAATCCTACATGAAACCCACCAATATGTGACAGGTAAGTGCAGAATCCTTATATATAAAATCCTTACATATAAAACTGACTGAAACAAAGCTATGGCCTAGTTTACTTAATTTCCTTCTTAACCCTGCAGGAGAACCTTCCACTCTAACCTGGTTTGGAAATTACCTTTATTTTATTTTATTTTTTTAAGACAAAGTCTTGTTATGTTGCCCAAGGTAGAGTGCAGTGATGTGATCTCGGCTTACTGCAACCTTCGCCTCCTGGGTTCAAGCAATTCTCCTGCCTCAGCCTCCTGAATAGCTGGGATTAAAAGTACCTGTCACCATGCCCGGCTAATTTTTGTGTTTTTTATAGAGACGGAGTTTCACCATGTTGGCAAAGCCGGTCTCGAACTCCTGACCTCAGGCGATCCGCCTGCCTTGGCCTCCTAAAGTGCTAGGATTACAGGCATGAGCCACCATGCATGGCTGACAGATCTTTGTTTTATGTGTTTCTGTTTAAAGACACTTTATTTAATGTATGTGGCTGCTTCATCAACACTAACCTCATGATCAACAGTACTATAACTCAGGCTTGAATGAAGTTTATCTAATACATGTATTTTCTCTGTAAGGTACACCACAGCCTTCCTGTTCTCAGGAACACTAGACAGCACTTCAGTACTACACCTGGTGGTCATCTCAAACAGTGAGATCACAAAAAAATAAAAATATAAAAAATATGGCACTTGGTAGACTGTGGAAAGGACACTTGATTACAGCAGGAGATCTGAAACAAGAAGGTAGAGTGTCTCTGTCTTGTTAGAACTCAGCCGAATGTGCTTGTTGAGAGACCAAGCTTTTGGCTACTCTGTGCATGTCCAGGAATGACCGTGAAAGTACCACGAGTATTGATTCTGGGGATATAAATACATTTTGGTGACTTAGGTAAGTTGACAAATATAAAAGCTATGAATGAAAACTGATTGTATACTGGCATTTAAAAAACTTTCTAAATCAACTTTATGGTTTGCATATTTCAAAAAACACATAACTCACCAGGCATGGTGGCTCACACCTGTAATCCCAGCACTTTGGGAGGCTGAGGCAGGCTGATCACCTGAGGTCAGGAGTTCAAGACCAGCCTGGCCAACATGGCAAAACCCTGTCTCTACTAAAGAAACCAAAATTAGCCGGGCGTGGTGGCACATGCCTGTAGTCCCAGCTACTTGGGAGGCTGAGGCAGGAGAATCGCTTGAACCCAGCGGGCAGAGGTTGCAGTGAGCCAGGATCACACCACTGTACTCAAGCCTGCGAGACAGAGTAAGACTCCATCTCAAAAAACAAAAACAAAAACAAAAACAAAACCATAACTTTGCTGCTCTTCGAAATACAGTAAAATAAAAAAAAAATTCAAATCTGAAAATTGATAAAGGCTTTTGCCAGCCACAGAAAATAAATTTGGAGAAATAAAATAGAAGGACTGCTTTTGTTTCCTAGAGCTTAGATAGTAGCATATTAAAGAAACACCATAAAAAGCTTGAAGGCAGGTTTAGCACAACATTTTTTATATTTAAAAATGTAACAGAACAATTCTATAAATGTACTAAAATCCACTGACTTGAACACTTTAAGCTGGTGAACTTTAAGATATGTAAATTATATCTAAATAAAGCTATCGAAAGGTGACAGGAAAGGGAAATCTGTATTTAATTTTTCTAATTAAAAATTCTAAATTTGGGTTCAGTATATAAAGGAAGTCAACTATGTTTGAGGGAAGGAGGACAGGTGGGTGGGCTAACCCTAGACACAAACAAAAGACTGCTGTAGAATCATACATTTCTAAAGTTGAAAGCCCAGTCTTTGACATATAATGCTTCCTTCTTCTCTTTTGCAGTGACTCCACTAGGAAGCCATTCAGAAGTATTATTTATTTCTCTTTTACCTTCCACAACTTTCTTTCTTTTTTTGAGACAGAGTCTCACTCTTGTTGCCCAGGCTGGAGTGAACTGGAGCAGTCTTGGCTCACTGCAACCTCCACTTCCCAAGTTCAAGTGATTCTCCTGCCTCAGCCTCCAGAGTAGCTGGGATTACAGGCATGTGGCACCATGCCCGGCTAATTTTATTTTCAGTAGAGATGGGGTTTCTCCATGTTTGTCAGGCTGGTCTTGAATTCCCTACCTAAGGTTATCCACCTGCCTTGGCCTCCTAAAGTGTTTGGATTACAGGCGTGAGCCACCGTGTCTGGCCTTTTTTTTTTTTTTTTTTTTTGAGACGAAGTCTCGCTCTGTCACTCAAGTTGGAGTGCAGTGGCGCAATCTGGGCTCGCTGCAACTTCTGCCTTTCAGGCTCAAGTGATTCTCATGCCTCAGCTTCCAGGGTAGTTGGGAGTACAGGCATGTGCCACCACTTCCCACTAATTTTTCTATTTTTAGTAGAGGTGGGGTTCTGTCATGTTGGCCAGGCTGGTCTCAAACTCCTGACCTCAGGTCAGCCTGTACTCGTATTTTTAAATTGAGGTTAAAATTCACGTAACAGAATTTATTTAAAACACTTTAAAGCATACAATTCAATCCTCTTTCTATACTCATATTGTTGTGCAACCATCAACACTAATTCCACATTTTTACCAACACTATGCTTTTGTAATACTTTGGTCATTATATGAAATTATATGAACTTTTTCATTCTAATACTTCCATGAATCAGTCAACATGTATTAAGCACCTAAGAACATAAAAATTATTTTAAAGCCGCAAAATAAGACTTTCTGATATGTTTAATAAACTATACTCTGTCTACTAAAGGATTTTACTGATCATAAAAACTTCTATTTTTACCAAGCAACAGTGTCAATTTTCAAGACTGATGTGCGGCATGCATTTCTATAAGTTTCTGGGAATATAAGAACCACCAAAAATTTATACAAGGTAACTAGTGCAAGCTAATTTTCTGAGCTTACCTCTATCTGCTATTCTTTTCATCAACTGATGCTCTCCCCATTTAATCAGATATTTAAGGATATCTTGTTCACTTGCCTATAATAAAAAGTGGGTTATATTTATTTTAGTGAAATTAGATAAGTGGTTAATTTCATTAAGAACTTTTCGTAGGTCATAATGTAAATACAGCATGCAACTTAACATGTTTCACTCTTTCCATTGGCTGTTTGAAGTTTTAGTGTTAAATCTGTGGTCCACCAACAGGAAATACACAAGACTGCATTACATATATTTTATCCAGTAACCCCACTCTTGGCTCCAACTAATTTTAAAATCTCATTTCTATCTTCTTTTTTTGTAATCTGCTCCCTTATTTTATTTTTTCATTTTAGGTTTTCCTTTTGAGACGGGGTTGCACTCTATTGCCCAGGCTGGAGTGCAGTAGTGCCATCATGGCTCCCTACAGCCTCAACCTCCTGGGCTCAAGGGATTCTCACCGCCTAAGCCTTCTGAGCAGCTGGGACTACAAGTGTGTGCCACCACATCCAGCTAATTTTTAAAATTTTTTTGTAGAGATGGGGTCTCACCTGTTGCCGAGGCTGGTCTCACACTTCTGGCCTCAAGCAACCCACTTCCTATTTCAAATTTATCTTACTATGTGGTTTCTATGTAGCTGTGTTAAATTCTCTTTTGGAACAAGATAGAGATAAGTAAATGAAAGTGTAAGTATAGAGTATACACAGAGTGACTACTATCTGCTGGAGGGACGGGAAAAACAAGTCAGTCAACTTGTTTTGGCAGAAGAAACCACAATCTCTACAAGGTATTCTACTGGTTGGTGAAGTGCAATCTGTGAAATGATAATGTATCCCTCATTTCTTTGTGTTTTACTTAAAATCTTAGAGCAAATCTAGGCTGCTCTCCAAGTTTTTTGTTTTGTTTTGCTTTACTTTCTAAGAAGGAATATAAAGCTCCTAGACAATAATCTAAGAGAACTAACAGCTTCTAACACAAACATAAAGCATCTAGTCTTGATCAGGACAATGACACAGGTTAATGAACAAAGATTTTCCATCTTTGTAAATCAAGCCCAAGTGTGACATCTGTACTGCAATCAAAGCAACACACAAAGGAAAAGCACAGATGCTGAGTGGATTATTTAACTCTCCACTGCATTTCTGACTGAAATAGTAGCATTTTTATCATTTTCTAGTACAAATACAAAGAAATAGGAAGTGGCTCAATGGGTTTATGTCTTCAATAGCATTAAAACAGTTGTACAGTTTTTCGTATAACATTCATACAGCCAATGCAAAAAAAAATTAAGCTTGAATATATTTGGCCTGCAAGTATTTACTTCTGTAATATATAAAATCTATTATTAATTTAAATTTCCTAATTAAATTGACATTTAAGTCAAGAACACAAGAATTTGCTAAGAACTACTTCTGGTTAAACATAAATAGTTGAAAACACTATCATACTTTGGAAGAATACATGCACTGAGTTTTGATAACCAGTTGAGCAGATCAGAAATTAAATATTAATTTTATTTGGTGCTGCTGAAGCTACTGTCTACAATCTAAGTATGTGATACTCTACCAAAAGTAAGAAACCACTATAGAGAAGCTACATTAACAGAAGTCAAGAAAATCACTGTTGGGATGTGCTTCTGACCTTGCCTACTGCCTCAATCTCTTTTTGGTGCATTTGGCTGGGACCTGGGCTTGTTCAGTGTTGAGTCATGGTAGTAGTGTACATAAAGAACCAGTGAGACAGAAGGCTTCTGTTGTACAGCTATGAAGAGGGCAGTCCTGGGTGGTTTGATCACAGCCTATTTCTCTTCCCCTGTCCTACCCTAGGTGGAAGAATAATAGAGCACAGATGGATTTCTTGGTGTACACATGAATGACAATGAATTTGAGAGGTGTTTAAATGATTACCTGTAGGTAGTCAGACTGGATAGCAGTAAGCAGATGGTCTTTGCTGAGTTCATAAAAAACATCCGAAGTCATGACCTGGGAAAATTCCTCACAGAGGAAATGTAAAGCTTGTCGGTGCACCCATTTAGAGCCATATGGATGAGAGCTCCACTTGAGGATGGCAATTAAGGTATCTAATGAGATGCTCTCAGCAATGATATCCTCACAGCCTAAAAGAGAAGGCAAATACTTCTTGAGATTAATCATAAATATTACTTATTGAACATTAGTGTGCTCGGCACTATATTTAAAAGTCACAATAGTAAAAAAGAACTAAAGGAGAGAAATAAAATCTCATGAAAATTGCCAAGACTTGGTGGGATGGGTAAACAATAGACTATGGCATCTATAGAAAATCTGCTGCCTTACAGAGATGCATCTACAGAAAAAGGCAGAGAATCCTCCCAAGTTCAAGATAACAAACATCCATGTGCAAATCCAATAATGTGAGTAAGACAGTATAGAGGAAGGCAATGGACCAAAGGGGAAAGAAGAGCAGGCAAAAAGGCCACAGTGGTGGAGACTAGCTAGAAGAAGAATGTGGATGACACCTGACTGATGAGAGAACGCACACCTCAGAATAAGGTAGGCGGGTTGCCGACTATGCAGATGCTCTTTGTATGAAAACATAACACGCTGCACTGTTGACAGTTTAATCCCTCAGAAAATAGATAAACCATGGGCCAGGTGTGGTGGCTCATACCTGTAATCCTAGCACTTTGGGAGCTGAGGTGGGCGGATCACCTGAGGTAGGGAGTTTGGAACTATCCCGGTTAACATGGTGAAACCCTGTCTTTACTAAAAAAACAAAAGTTAGCTGGGCGTGGTGATGTGTGCTATAGTCCCAGCCACTTGGGAGGCTGAGAATTGCTTCAGCCACGAGGCGGAGGTTGCAGTGAACTGAGATCATGCCACTGCACTCCAGCCTGGCAACAGAGTGAGACTCTGTCTCAAAAAAGAAGAAGAAGAAGAAGAAGAAAAAGAACAGACAAAATGTCAAAGTTTTATGTTCATCTGAGCTTAATTCTGGCAAACTTAAAAAGAAGGAAGTGAAAAGGACCAGGATCCTGGAGAAATCAACTATGGCATTTTAAGAACTCAAGAAAGAAAAGAAAACCTAAAGAGACTCAATTCTCCTCTTTAGGAAAGATCATTTGAAAATATAAGTAAAAATCTGAATGACAAAGATGAGGGGAGTGAAAATGGCTATGCGTGAACAGAAATTTTTTGTTAAGTTTACTATAAAACAAAAAACAATCCTGATAATGTGAAAAGGAAAAACAGGTGTTTAAATATAACCACTAAGCTGGGTGCTGTGGTTCACAGCTGTAATCTCAGCACTTTGGGAGGCTGAGGCAGGTGGATCACCTGAAATTGAGGGTTTGAGACCAGTCTGGCCAGCATGGTGAAACCCAGTCTCTACTAAAAATATAAAAATTAGCTGGGCGTGGTGGTGGGCACCTGTAATCCCAGCTAGTCAAGAGGCTGAGGCGGGAGGATCATTTGAACTTGAAAGGCATAGGTAGTACTGAGCCAAGATCATGCCACTACAATCCAGCCTGGGCAACAAAGTGAGACTCCATCTCAAAAAATAAAAATAAAAAAATAAACACCACCAAAAATATGGCTACACAAAAAGGGCACAAATGAACTCCAGAGACTTCTAAAATTCAAAGCTAACTGTGAAACCATGAAAGGTGTAAAGACAAAAGGAGTGAATCCCAATTTTAAGTGACAGAAGATAATGAGTAGCAATATGGAATCTACAAAAAGTAATCACTCATTCCCTTTTCTGATATGGTACCAGGTAAGGAGAAATATCATAGATAACTGTGTAACTTGATTTCCATAAAGCATTTAGAAAATACTTCATGATGCTGCTAAACTATTAGCACCACAAGATAGCAACTACTATCTTCAATTCATTCCTAGCACCTTCTTGCACATGTGCTAAACCTGTGCTAAATAAAAATGTGTTGTATGTACAAATGAGATCTCTGCAGATAAGACGAAGAGACAGGAGATGGGAAGACAGAACAGTGGTTAACAGAACCATTCATAAATAGCACTGATTAACTTGATGGGTGGAGTGGGAAGTTGGTGTTTGACATTTTCACCAGGAACTTGGGACCGGGCACGCTGGTGCGTGCCTGTAATCCCAGCACTTTGGAAGGCCGAGGTGGGTGGATCACCTGAGGTCAGGAGTTTGAGACCAGCTTGGCCAACATGGTGAAACCCTGTCTCTACTAAAAATAGGAAAATCAGCTGGGTGTGGTGTCACATGCTTGTAATCCCAGCTATTTGGGAGGTTGAGGCAGGAGAATCACTTCAACCTAGGAAGCAGAGGTTGCAGTGGGCTGAGATAGCGCCGCTGCACTCCAGTGTGGGCGACAGAGTGAGACTCCATCTCAAAAAAAAAAAAAAAAACAATCAAAATGAAGTTGAAATATAACTAGGAGAATTGGTTCTGCATTTAAAGAAAATCAACTGCACAGCAGATGATGGTTGGCTTAAATGGAACTATACAAAATAATATCTGGGTTTTTTTTTTTTTTTTTTTTTAACGGAATGAATGCAAAATGTGACACATCTGCTATAGATCTGAAGCACTCTCAGGCTTTTCAGGTACAATCATCAAGCCGTAATCAAAGAACTAATGTTGTACTGCTTTCTGTGGAGTGCTGTGCTGTTTTATGCCCTGTGCTTTGGATGAGCACTGACCAAACTGCAAGATTCTCAGGAGGGCAAGGGAATAGTGGAGAGTAAAGTTTGCCAGTTATCACAGGAGAAAAGCTCCAAGCAAGAGATTATTTGGGTTATGTAAGAGAAACCTGAGGCGAGACATAAAAGCTGTGTTTAAATGCCTGTTCATGAGGCAGAGGAGAAATAACTCACTGATCTGTTGCTCCTAGGAAACAAATAGATGTTAAAAGAAGGGAGGCTTTGACTCAATGATAAGAAGTTTCTAACAATTAGAATTTCCATCCTCTTCTCCCCTCAAAAAAAGGATCCCTCTAGAAAGTGTCAGAGCAGAGGCTGGCTCGTCACATTAGGGACAGAGTATAATGAACCCTTATGCTGGAAAGGGAACTAAGGTCAGAAGACATCCAAGTTGATTCCATCACAAAGACAAAACCATTTTTATAAAGATGATACAGGGCAAATAAAAAAGATTTACTCTAAGCACTAAAATAATAAGCACTATAATAAAATAGTATAAGGAACACAATGAGACCACTGCATTTATATCCACATATAGATGACACCCAAAGGCATGAATACGTGCTGATGAGAAGTTGGAAATATGGAAAAGGTTTCAACAGTCTTCATTTTATGATGAGCCTTTGAGCCTTGAATGCCAAGCTGAGAAGGACAGACCTCATTTAGTGGTGAGTGGAGGACTTCCATTGGTCTGTTGTTTTAAAGTGGATGTTGGAATAGAATTGACTGGGATGCGTCAATCTGATAGGACGGGCAATCTCATAGATGTGTTTGGGAGTGAAGCAGGGGAAATGAGTGAAAAGCTGGTTATTTAAAATGATGTGTCACAATCCTACTAAACCAGGGTGCTGGAACAGGTAAAGAAAAATAAGGTTCAATGATCACAGCTATTTAAACTGCTGAGGTTCACAAAGAAGTAGGATACAATAGGGAAAAAAAGGGCTTTACAATCAGACAGATTGGATTCGAAATCCTAGCTCTGCCACTCAGTAGCAAAATCACTTTGGGCAAATCACTTAACTTTTAAGAGTCTGAAATGTTCTCATCTGCAAAGCTGAGACTGTTTCTTACATCACAGAGTTGTTAAGGGATTTAAATGAGACCATACTCTTGACACTTTACGTTTGTTCAAGCAGTCTGGAGTACCTAAGCCGAGTACCATGAATACCCAGCTCTTTTCACTGCCTGGCGATGTCACTTGTCCCAATGCCTTCACCTCATTTTACTGACTTCCCAGTTGATGACTCCAAGCCTGAGCTGACTCCCAGTCACATCTTATTTTCACATGGATTTTGAACAGACATCTTAAATGCCAAAGTCAATTCACTTTCTCTGGGAAATCTGGTTCTCCTCAGTCACCAAAGCCAGAGATCTGAGTACTATTATTGGGTCCTTCTCCGGAAGCCCATATCCAATCTATCACCAGAGGCAGTTCATTCTTCTTTTAAAGCCAACCCCTCCACAGACTCTCCATTGAATTTATACCATCTCCTTTACAGAACCTGATACTTTCCCCCTGCATTATTGAAACAGCCTTTAAAAAAATTCCCACCTCCAGTCTTTCCCCTTCTAATCTGCTCTCTGTACTGTTGCCAGATGATCCTTTAAAATGTAAATTATATATGCCTCTTTAGCAAATTATTCAACAGCTTATGCCACAAATTTCAAGATAAAGTCCAAGCTACATCTCCCTTAAGGATCTGGCACCTACCTACTCCCCAGCCCCATCCCTGCACATACTCTACACCCCAGTCATACTGCATCCCTTCCAATTACCCAGAATTCCACCAAACGCTCATACCTCCAGGCTTTTGTGTATGTTGTTCCACTTTTCTGAAATGTTGCTAACTCTTTTCTTAACTCCTCTGCATGTTTAAGTCTCAGCTTAGATACTGCCTCTTTTACGAGCCTACTTTGATCCTGCTCCTCAAAGCCTTAGGTCGGGTGTTCCTCCTACCTAAGTTTCTCTACCCTGTTTTTGTCTGTAACAGCACAAAACTCTCATACTACTACATCTTTCTTATATATATAACATGTCTGACTCTTCCATCAGACTAAGCTCCTTTTTGGTAAAGGTTCCATCTTACCTAATTCTATAATGTCTGGCACCTAGTAATTAACTAAAAGCAAACAATAGCTAACATTCTTGAAAATTTATTAGGTATAGGTACCAGGCTCTGTGCTAATTGCTTACTTTAGAATATTTAATTTTAGCACTTCTTCTCAAAGAAGGTTGTATTATTATTACCATTATTATTATCTCCATTTTATAGATGAGAAAACTAAGACTCACAAAGATTAAATATGTTACCCAAGGTTATACAGCTAGGAAGAAGACAAGTCCTACGTAAACATATTATTCCTTCCCCTCCCAAAAGTTCCTCCTTCCTCCTTTTTAGGACTTTTTTTTTTTTTTTTTTTTTTTTTTTTTTTTTTTTTTTGAGATGAA